TATATATATATATATATATATATATATATATATAATCCCACAGAATCAATTTTCAGGCCCACCTTCTCAATGTATTACTCTGAAGCAAAGTGCGAGGGGTATGGCCATCTCGTTTGCTGAATAGTACATATGTAATATATTAACTGTTATTGTGTGTTCGATCTGAAACTCCCATTCTATTACACACGTTGCTAATGAATACACTGCATGCAATTTTTATGCCGATTTATATGCAATAATATAGAATAAATCATGCTGTGATGATGATTAACCCACTGTTAATATTTCATGCACATTCATTGACTGATTTCTTTGCAGATAACAAAGAAAATACAGGAAGGAAAAACCAGAGTGGGCAGTTTGCAAATGTGATAGCTCCTGAACCAGTGCCGGTGTAAGCGCAAACACACAATATATGCCAGTCATATGTGCCATATATATAGAATGATTACGTTTTTGAACGAGCTTTACGTGGGATAATCCTAATACGTGGGGTACTAGTTTACTATCATGCTAAGTTCGGTCTTGTTTGGTTGCAGGCATGCGCCACAGTCCACCATTCCTTCTCCTTACTCGATCGTCACTGATCCGAAGGACTCGGTTAAACCGTGGGAGGAGAAATCTGATAGGTGAGTACACACACGTGTGACAACGAAGATATTGCGTTGTGCAAGCATCTACGGACACTATCAGGAGGAATGTATCCAGCCCTCGTCGCCCGCGTGGTGTTCATGGCTGGTGAAATACGTGTGATTTTGTTATCGCACCGCAAAGTTTTCATGCACAGGGCATTCATGCATGAGGGTTCGTGAATGGGAGTTAGTTTGTACGTTAGAGCATTGCACGAAGCAATCTATGATATTATTCTAATTCTGTATCTTACTTCTGTTCTCATTTACATTTCAACACATGCTTTCCCTTAGTAATACAATTACACAGACATGCACATGCACATGTATGGGCACGCACACACACACGCATGAATGTACATACACACGCACATAGGCGAGCATGTACAGTACGTACATGCATGCACGCACACACATACACAGATACGCACGCATGCACACACATGCATACACAGGTACGCACGCATGCACGCACACGCATACACAGGTACGCACGCATGCACGGACACGCATTTACGTACACTCACACAAGAACGTGTGCATGCACGTACAATATGTACACGCACGCATGCGCACGTATTCACGTACACTCACACAAGAATGCGTGCACGCACGTACAATATGTACACGCACACACGCACACACATTCATGTACACTCACACAAGAATGCGTGCACGCACGTACAATATGTACACGCACGCATGCACACGTATTCACGTACACTCACACAAGAAGCGTGCACGCACGTACAATATGTACACGCACGCACGCACGCACGCATGCACACGTATTCACGTACACTCACACAAGAAGCGTGCACACATGTACAATATGTACACGCATACATGGACGCACACACACGCACGCGCGTACACTCATGCACGCACACTAGGTGCACGCACGCACGCACGTACGCGCACGCACACGCATACGGTACGTACATTAACGATGCGGACGCTTGTGTCTAGGTCTCGCGGCCTCTACTCACATCAGGGTGACGACGTCTCCGATAGAGGATCTAAGCGAGGACGCTCACCGATGTTCAGCCAATCACGACGGCCGCCATCCGCCAGCGAGACGGAGCCGACCGATCGCAGGTACGAGCGCACTTAAAGCCGCACTATGCGCATCCAAACGCTAACAATAAGACCTAATACTTAAAGCCGCACTATGCGCATCCAAACGCTAATTTCTCCAGTACTAGACTAGCAAATACTTCATGTCATGCATAATCACACTACCTTATGACAAAATAGACTCTAGTTCCTCCCATTTCACTGCGCGTTTGCTTAAAACCCACAAGAAAGAGGTACGTGAGTAAACTGGCATTCTGGCGCCAACGCCGACTTGTTTGCCAAACAATTTAGCCTCGAAGCGGTTAGGTGACGTCAGATGTTTTTATCTTTGCTACACCCGTACCGCTGTACCGCAGCACCGCTGTGCGGTTGCTTGGCAGGGCAACGCGAAAGCCATTGGAGGTATTTTCAAATTCCTTTTATAAAACAGACATAGAGTCTATATATATAATAGAGTTTATTTTGTCATAAGGTAGTGTGATTATGCATGGCACGAAGTATTTGCTAGTCTAGTACTGGAAAATTTAGCGTTTGGATGCGCATAGCGCGGCTTTAAAATGTAAGCTTAAAATGTTATGCCTAAACCCAAAGGCTAAAAATTTAAAAATAAATGCCCACACCATATCTACAGACCACTAGTAAATTTATTCTATAGATTCCCACGTTGTTGAGTTAATGTGTCTAGTTACAATTTTGCTAAACCTATAGCTGGTTGCCTTTCCAATCTGCCGTTACATAATATAGTCAGCAGCTGCAACCAGATTAAAAATAAAATAAATTCACGAGTAAACTAACAGCAACATACATATTGGGAAAAAATGTGGTAAAGTGAGAAACAGCGGGTACAGCATACGAATACAGTATGAAATTCAGGAGATATGTTTTTGGTTAATAATATTGTGATCGTCAACATGGAAATTGTCGCCAAGAATCGCCAAGACACAAAAGCGTGCGGGCACGAGTAACATGTTTCGGTCTAGGCGCAACATTTTAATTTCGTACATGTGATGGCTGGGATTCACTCAGCTAATGTGTTCGTCTTTCCACAATATTTTATATCTAATGTGAATTCGAATGACTAATGTAGCGTATAGTTACAACCTGCTAAAGTTTACCTAAAACTGTAACATAATAGTCACACCTGTTAAAAATTTCGCATTTTATTTCTCCCGTAGAGGGCATCGCAGTCGTAAGGGAGTAGGATCCGGTAGCGACAGCGATATCTCTATATCGAATCGACGACGTAGAAGGCGAGTAATGGGTTAGCAAACACGTTGCGCCTTTAGTGGCGAGGTCTCCTATTACTTTCCCTGAAGCACGTGTCCGTGTACTGAGGAAGCATTTAAGCATGTGCTCGGAAAAGCGTAGACCATTATTACTTTGATCATCGGAATGCTTTGATCCATTGTAGTGTGTCATATGAGATAATATCAGAGGTTTTAATGTTTTTGAGATAAGATCATTGTTCGTATGGGTAGAGTGCTGCATGTTTGTGAATTAAACACGAGTGTGTAGTTTCATTATTAAGCTTTAAGTAATTTTTTCTCATTATTAATGCAAGTTCATATTCTAATCACGATGAAAATATAGGTATCGATTGAATGACATAAAAGAGAAAAAATCTTTTTATGCAGCAACATCGCTATAACAGGTTTTGTGTTTGAAGTTATTTGCCGGTGTGCACGGTCGAAATACTGGGTGTGTAAACTAAAGTGGAACGAGAAGGGACAGCCAATTTGTTCGCTCGGCAAAACGTCAACGACGGGCGCTAATTAACGTTTTTTCTCACCTGTCAGGTCGAAGGATCGGAACGGTCTGAGCAGCGGCAGCGAGTCAGAAGCGTCCGTACAGCGCCGGCGGCGACGCAGAAACAGGCAGTAGGTGGCGCCACACGTCCTCCCACTCACGTAGCTGCGTTAGGCCGGCGTGCAAAACTGCAGGTTTAATGAAAGTTAAACAATAGCGTTTTGTCGTCGGCATTTTAAACGCGCAAGGTTGACATTTCGAATGCGAACCGATGACATTTGTGATGGAAGAGCTAGCCTGTGTTCTCTAAGCGCGTGCTGTATATATGGTAGCGTAAAATGGCAACTGTAATAATGCTTACTCGTATTGTCTCCCCCAGTTAGAGAAGAATGTTCACGTGTAACCTGTTCGGTGCTCGTTTCAACGTGGTCTATTCACCTTTATACCTGTAACCCATTAACCTTGATCGCATGCCTTTGCCTTGTCTCGCCTGCGCACCCACCTATATTTTCTGCGACACGGCGGTTATCCTTCTACACCTCTCGGTGCGGCTATTGTAAACAATGGTGTGGGCAGGAAAAATGGCAAACCGCTACGTGCCAAAGTAAACGAGACGTTGGGTAAATAGAGAGAGAGGAAAAACAGTGTGTGCCGTGACCTACCTTCAGTCTGGTGTTACCGCCGACGCTAGCGCGCGAAAGTAATTAATGATCGGACAGCGGCCGTCATTGATCGGGCGGTCATGCGTGGCATTCTAGTATCTCGTCTGCGTGCAGTTTTCCAGGGCAGCCTCTGGATGTTTTAAAGTTTGAGTGAGCCAAGACTTGAGCCACCGAAGTTATTTTTTAGCCACCAGTGAAAAACTGTAGCCACTGTTCACTTTATCGTATGTGCTAAGCAAGGCATAAACAGGTGATGGGTGTGGGAAAGGAGGTGTACGAAACCATTTTACGACACGACACTGAAATTTGATGATTTCATTGTTTAAACGTAATTTTGTGAGCAGTTAAACCGTTTGCCATTTGTATTCGCCACTTAATGTAGTGAAATCCCCACTGTTATATATTTATTGCATTTTATGAAGGTGGCGAACGCCAGCAGTAGCCCTGGTTTTCCGCGATGCGTTCATCAACAGAAGTTGTTAATGTTTGTAAGCTGTCTCGGCAGCACCTGTAGAGAATCGTAATTATTGCGGTTGCTATGGCAGTAAGAGCGCTAGGCAATTGCAGATTAATTTGAGTAGGTCGGCGATTTTACGGCTCAATTAACGAGTCGTTATTGACGATCATGTTCCAATTAAATGCCGACTGTCAATCAGTTAGTTTTCGGTATCGCATCACATCCAATTAATGATGTTATTATTGCCTATAAATGGCATCTAATCAATGGCAACGTCGTATCCTCCAAATAATTAAGTTAGTGAGTCCTTAAGGGGGGATGGGAAGAAATACTATAGGCACCAGGTTAGGTACCATGCCCTCTGACCAGTAACTTACAGTACTAACAGTGTCTTTACTATAAAGTCGCTCGTAAATTCTTTATATGCCCTAATAAACAACGGGATAATAATAATGATAATAATAATAATAATAATATTAATAACGGGATCGCGTTCTCGAAAAACCTGGGTAACATTGTATATTTCTATGATATATATATATATTGTATAACTGCGCATGTGTTTACAAGCCTTCCCCTGTCTTCCTGTTGTAGGTCTGGTGAGGACATCCTCGTGGATTCGGGTGCACAGTGGGAGGCAATCCAGCTGCAGCAACAGCAGCATGCGCAGAGAGAGGAGGCTATACACGGGTAGGTGGCCAGCCAGTCTCCCCCCTCTAACACGCAGCAGTCTAACTAACTAACTAACTAAGTCTAACTAAGTCTAACTAAGTCTAACTAAGTATAAGTCTAACTAAGTCTAACTGAGTCACTAGCTGCGTTCACACGTATACACGGCCTAGCTGGTACCATACTTAGTTGGTGCTAAGTTCGGTTAAAATGCGTTCACACGAGATACACGAGATTCGAGGCTTAGCTAGCTAGGTATAATATAGACTGGTACCCGGTCGACAGTTCCACGCGCTACCCTAACGTCGTGCAGCGAACGGGTAGCAGTCTAGGTTAGCGCGCTACAGTTTTGCAATTCGAATGCGTTAACACGACAAACAATACGCGGCCAGCGTGGTGCCGAATATACGCGGCTTAGTTGGCGCGGAATATGATTCCGCGCTAAGCAAGACGTGGCTAAGCAAGCCACGTATATTTTAGCGTGTGAACGCTTAAATACGGAACTAAAATCCTCGTGTGAACGCAGCTTATAAAATATATATATATTTAAGCAGCATATCCTAACACAGTACTACAGTGTAACTACAGCCTACACACACAGTGTAACAGTGTAACAGTGTAACAGTGTAACAGTGTAACAGTGTAAGTGTAACAGTGTGCAGAGTTATGGGCAGAGTGGTCCTACTCACGTAAAACATCCCACTCTGCTATTGACGCGAAGTTGTCAGTGTCTAAGACTCTTGTTCGCAGTTATTTGCTGCGCGGCAAGGTGATGTATGTAGTAATGTCGTGTGTTGCATTTCCATCAAGCGAAGTGAGTGATGTATTTTATTTTCGTAATCACGATTGATAGAACATGGCCGCTCCCTCAACCCTTTATAATCGCTCTGTGTTTAGCTCTTCGTTGGGGGGGGCGGGGGTCTCATCTGCGATGTGTGTCACGCACGCGCAGTCATAACAGTTAACAGGCTGTTGTTGAGCATAGTCGATGATTTATCATCTGTCATTGATCAATCTGATTACTTTATAATTGGACTGAAGTAATAACTACTATCCATCATCTGAAGGATGTCACTGTTTCCGTCTGAAATCTAATAGCAATACTGTTAACACAGTAACAATGCTCATTCGACCTGATACCATGGGTGTAATCATAGATGCTATATATGTACTATCAAGAGCTAATAATACCTTGGGTATATAAATACCTTGATATATATATATACCATGGGTATACTCACAGGTACTATATATATATATATATATATATATATATATATACTACNTATATATATATAGTACCTGTATATATATGCAGCGAATAGTAAATACCGTCTTTTCGCTCCCCGACATCTCTCTCTCTCTCTCGCTCTCTCTGTCTTGCGACGTGTTTTTCCCGCTGAGTGGCAGTGTTGTCCCGGCGTTGCTATTGGCCGAGCCGCCATTGTTCGCTTGGCCGCGACGGTAATCATCAGCGAGCGGACTGGGAGGGGGGGGGGACGTCGCGAGTGAGGGATGACGTTTGTTCTAGCGACGCGTTCCATGCTCACATGTGATTTCTTGTGTCGTTGCAGACCCCAGGCGGCCGTCGTGCGGACGCTATCTAAGGCCGGGTAAGTACGCACTAGCAGCAGTCGTCAGACCTGAACGTATAATGAATGGGTTGTCGCCGTCCTTGAGGCATTCCCCGATTGTGGGCATGTAGGCACGCGAAATCTTGGACGGGCAGGGGTGTGGCGGGCGGGGATGGGCGGGAGGGGATGGGCGGGCGGCAGTGTAGGGTGTGGTGTGTAGGCACGCGGAGTCTTGAACAGGCAGGGGTGTGGCGGCGGGGATGGGCGGGAGGGGATGGGCGGGCGGCAGTGTGGGGTGTGGAGTGTAGGCACGCGGAGTCTTGNGGGCGGGCGGCAGTGTGGGGTGTGGCGTGTAGGTACGCGGAGTCCTGGACAGGCAGGGGTGTGGCGGAGGGGATGGGCGGGAGGGGATGGGCGGGAGGGGATAGGCGGGGCATGGTGTGTAGGCACGCGGAGTCTTGGACAGGCTGGGGTGTGACGGAGGGGGTATGGGTAGGTGGGCAGGGTTGCAGTGACCTGGGCGTTTACGACACAGCATAGTGTGGCGAGGATGTTGCAGGCTTGCAGAGTCTTCGACGGGCAGGGTTGCGGCGTTATGGGCGGGCATGGATGCGGCGGGGGAAGGAGGCTGGCATGGGCATAGACGCGGCGAGGGAAGGTGGGGAGGGATGCTACGTGGGCAGGCGCATGGACGCGGCGGGGGAAGGATGCCTAGGTGCGGCAGGGCATGGACGCGGCGGGGGAAGGATGCTAGCGTGGGCAGGCATGGACGCGGCGGGGGGGGAGAGGGAGCGCGATGCTAGCGTGGGCAGCGCCCATGGACGCGGGGGGGGGAGGATGCTTGGCGTGCGCAGCGCATGGACGCCGGCGGTGCGAACGGGATGCTGGCGTGGGTAGGCATGGCACGCGGCGGGGGACAGGCCCATGCGTAGCGTGGCCAGGCCATGACGCGGCGGCGTGGGGAAGGTGCTGGCGAGCCGGTGGGCAGGATGGACGCGGGGGGGGGAAGGATGCTAGCGTATGGGCGGCATGGAGCTGCGGTGGGGGGGGATGCTATGCCTGTGGCGTATGCATGGACGCGGCGCGGGGCGAAGGATGCCTAGCGTTGGGCAGGCGCATGCGACGCGGTGGGGGGAAGCATGCTAGCGTGGGCAGGCATGGACGCGGCGGACACTGGCGAAGGATGCTAGCCAGGCATGTGACTCTGCGGCGTGCAGATCAGCGGCAGATACGCGGCGGGGGAAGGATGCCTAGGGGGGAGCTGGGCATCTGAGTACGGGCGGGAGAGATGCAGGTGGGCAGGCGAGACGGCGGATGAGGCGATCAGCGCTGGCAGGCATGGACGCGTGGGAGGGAGGCGGAGCGGATGCTAGCGTGGGCAGGCATGGACGCGGCGGAAGGATGCTAGCGCTGAGGCATGGGACGCGGGGCCCGGGGGGATGCTAGCGTGGTAGCGCATGGACGCGGTGGGGCGAATGGCATGCTAGCGGCGGCAGGCATTGCGACGCGGCGGCGGAAGGATCCCTAGCTGTTTGGGCCAGCATGGACGCGGCGCGGAGGGGAGGGAGTGATGCATAGCGTAGGGCAGGCATGGACGCGGCGCGTCGGGAAGGATCTAGCGTGGCGGTCAGGCATGCGACGCGGGGCGGGACGGGGAGTCGAGGGATGCTTAGCGTGCGGGGCCAGGGGGGGATGAGCGGGGGGGAGCGGATGCTAGCGTGGGGTAGGCATCGCGACGCGGTGGGGGAAGGTGCTTAGGTGGGCAGGCATGACGACGCGGGCGGTGCGTCGGGGGCGAGCTAGCGTGGGCAGGCATCGACACGCGGCCGGGAAAGGGTGCCTAGCCTGTGGGCAGCCATGGACGCGGGGGATGGGGGGGGGATGCTTAGCGTGCCGCGCAGCATGGCACGCGCGCGAGGAGGTGCCTAGCGTGGGGCAGGCATGGACGCGGCTGGGGGGAAGGATGCTAGCCGTGGGCAGCATGGACGCGGGGGTGGGGGGATGCTTAGCGTGGCACGGCATGACGCGGCGGGGCGGGGATGCTAGCGTGGGCAGGCATGGAGCGGCGGGGGGACAGGGCATGCTTAAGCGTGCGGCAGGCTATGGACGCGGCGGGGGAGGATGCTAGCGTGGGCAGGCATGGACGCGGTGGGGGAAGGATGCTAAGCGTGCGGCAGGCATGGCACGCGGCGAAGGGGGGCATGCTAGCGGGGCAGGCCAGGCATGGACGCCGGTTGGGGGAAGGATGCTGGCGTGGGCAGGCATGGACGCGGCGGGGGAAGGGATGCTAGCGTGGGCAGGCATGGCGACGCGGCGGGGGCGAGGGAGGATGCTACGTGGCGCAGGAGTCGGACGCGGTGGGCGGAAGAAAAAAAAAAAAAAAAAAAAGATAAACAAAGAAAAAAATAAAAAAATATAAAAAAAAAAAAAAAAAAAAACAACAAAAAAAAAAACAAACTGGATGCTAGCGGGGGCAGGCTATGGACGCGCGGGGGGAGCGGAGGATGCTAGCGTGGCGCATGGACGCCGGTGGGGGGGGGCATGCTAGCGTGGGCGCAGGCAGGGACGCGGGGGGTGCGGGAGGATGGCTAGCGTGCGGCGGCTGGACGCGGTGGGGGGGAAGGATGCTAGCTGTGGCAGGCATGGACGCGGTGGTTTGGGGGGTGGGATGCTAATGCGTTGGCAGCATGACGCGGTGGGCGGAATGGTGCTAGCGTCGCGGCAGGCATGGACGCGGTGGGGGCGAGGGCGATGCCCTAGCGCTGGGCAAGGCATGGACGCGAGTGGGGCGGAAGGATGCTTAGCGTGCGGCAGCATGGAACGCGGCGCGCGCGGAGGGAGGATGTAGCGCGTGCGCGCAGCGCATGGACGCGGGGGGGGGGGATGCTAGCTGTGGGCATGTCATCGGACGGGTGGGCCGCGGAGGGATTGCCTGGCGTGGGCAGGCGATGGACGCAGTAACCACCCCCACGCGGGGTGAGGCGCAGGATGCTAGCGTGGGCAGGCATGGACGCGGTGGGCCGGAAGGATGCTAGCGTGGGGCTAGGCATGGACTGCGGCCGGGCGGGGGAGCGCGTATGCTACGTGGGCAGGCGTATGGACGCGGTGGGGGGGCCGGATGCTAGCGTGGGCAAGGCCCATGCGACGCGTGGGGGGGGATGCTAAGCGTGTGGCCAGGCATGGACGCTGGTGGGGGCGCGGATCTAGCGTGGAGTAGCATGACGCGTGGGCGGGGCGGATTGCTAGCGTGGGCAGGCATTGGACGCGGTGGGGGAGGATCCTAGCGTGGCCAGCATGGACGCGGCGCGGGGCGAGGAGGGATGCTAGCGGTGGGCAGGCATGAGACGCGGTGGGGGGCGCGGGGGATGCTAGCGTGCAGGCCAGCGCATTGGACGCGGTGCGCGGTGGGATGCTGGCGTGGGGCAGGCATTGGACGCGGCGGGGTGGAAGCGATGCTAGCGTGGGCAGGCATGCGACGCGCGGGGGCGGGGGAGGGTGCTAGCGTGGTAGGCATTGGACGCGGCGCGCGTAAGGATGCTACGTGGCATGGCGACCGGCGGGGTCAAGGTGTGCTAGCGTGGGCATGCATGACGTGGTGGCGGCGGAAGGATGCTGGCGTGGCAGGCTATGGACGCGGGCGGAGCGGAAAGGGATGCGTAGCTGTGGGGCAGGCCATGGACGCGGCGGCGAAGGATGCCTAGCGATGGGCAGGCATGGGACGCGGTTCGGGCGGAAGGATGCTGAGCCATGGGCAGGCATGGACCGCGGCGAGGGAAGGATGCATAGCGTGGCGCAGGCATGGACCGGTGGTGCCGGAAGGAGGCTGGCGTTGCGGCAGGCTATGGACGCGGCGCAGGGAAGGATGCTAGCGTGGGCACCATGGACGGCGGCGGGGGAGATGCTAGCGTGTGGCAGGCATGGACGCGGTGGCCCACGTTCCCTCGACAATCGCTGCTGCTGCCGCTGACTAATAGCCGCTGACGGGCTTCACCGTCCGTGACGCACGCTCGCGCGCGCCGCAGCGCGACAACGTGGGACGCTGCTTCTAAGAAACGTAATGCGTTTTTGAAAGCCGCACCTCGATATATCCTCGCTCTCGCGCGCCGCGTTATATTATCCCGCGTAATAAAAGCACGCGCCCGTAGGAAATGCTGCAATAGCAGATTATTAGTCGAGTTTATTGATTTCCTTATTAAGCATGATGAATCACTCAGCGTCCCCGCGCGCGCGCACCGCGGTTCTTACGCTAAACAGTTCCGCAAAAATTGAATGCGGTCTTTTTACGTTTTTTGGTGCGTGTTTTTTTTGCCCGATAAATTAATGCACTGATTTTCTCCCCGTTTCAGTCCCTCCCAGGAGCATGAAAGGCGGGCACGGAAACAGTACGTAGTCGAGTTGAAAGCGTTCGCTACGCGGCGGCGGACGCATAGTAATAAAGCATGGTTTCATATCTCGCGTGCGCTGCACCCTCTCCGCAACTTACCGATCATTGTTGCTCTCTTGTTGACGCACCCGCGCCGGCGCGATGCCATTGGTGTACTCGTGAATCAATGTGTTTGATCTTATTCGCTTATAATACGCTGTGCCGTGACGGTATTGATACACGAGAAGGGACCGCACGCACACAGCGGCGTTACAGAGCAAATGTTTGTGCACTTCCCTGTGATTATTATTGTCATAATGGCCTGCACTGTGCCTCGTTTTCACATGCGGCCGTACTGTAGCGTAATGAAGATGTTCTTAAGAGTGGTTGTCTCACTGCTTTTGTCCTAGATGTATCATGTGTCGGACATGATAGACATTGCAATAATAAATCCATCAGGGCAGTTAAGGTGGCCATGTAGTGAGCAGCGGGTAGGCTAAGTGCATGCCTGCACCAGTTGTAAGTTGGTAAAAACCTGTGTGCTAGTAAATAATAAACAATTTCATTTAATCTGTGCAAGGGAGATGCGCTCAAGCAAATAAGTTTAATTATTAATGTAATTATTTGCATACGTAATTATTATTAATTTAATTAATTACAAGCTGACGATCTGGTGACGGTAATATTATCGAGGATTGGGTCTGAGGCAGTGAGTTATCGGTGCAAGATTGATATTAGTTCTGGTAATGATGTCTGGTCCTTCCACATTTCCCCCTCGTTATAACTATATGCTTGCGTGCGTGCGTGCGTGCCTGCGTGCGTGCGTGCATGGCGTGCGTGCGTGCGTGCATGGCGTGCGTGCGTGCGTGCGTGCGTGCATGGCGTGCGTGCGTGCGTGCGTGCGTGAATTGCGTGCGTGCGTGCGTGCGTGCGTGCGTGCGTGCGATGCATCGTGCATGGTAGCTGCCCGCTGCGTGCGCTGCCGTGCCGTCGCGTCGCGTGGGTGCGTGCGCTGCGTGCACGTGTTATGGCTGTGCTGTGCGTGCCGCGTCGTTGCGTGTATGGCGTGCGTGGCATGCATGCGGGCTGCATGGCCGTGCGTTGCATGGCGCTGCGTGCGTGTCGTCGCGTGCGTGCGTCGCGGCGTCGTCGTTGCGTGTATGGTGCGTGCATGGGCGTGCATGCGTGGCGTCGCGTGGGCGTGCGTGCCTGTGCGTGGGGGCGTGCGTCGTGGCGGTGCGTGCAGTGGCTCGGGCGTCGGCTGCGTCGCCGCGTGCTGCATCGGCGTGCGTGCCCGTGCGTGCGTGGTGGCGTTATGGCTGTGCGTTGGCGGCGTTGCGTGCATCGTGATATACTGGTTATACCCATGTGCTGCATAATGTATTCATTCCGCGTCTCGTCGGCACGTTCTTACGTCTGTCACGTATTCTGTTTTTGCAGTCGATCAAAGTCTCCGGTAATCCCGCAGGAAATACGGAAGCAAATACAGTGAGTAACGTAGAAACGCGTCTCTCCTCCACCGCTTCTATATATAAACAGCATAATATAATAAAACAAGTGACGCGCAAACACCATCACACCAGCCATGTTGAGCATGTTCATCCCTCAGTCTACTGCTATGTGGTCGTGAAATCTCAGCAGCCGTAATGATTGATTCACATAGCGATGGGAGTTGATGTATGCCAAATTCTGACACGGACTGGCGTCATTGAAGAGGACAATATATCGGATAGTTTACATCTTCGTAATGCTAAAAAAATAAAAAAATATTGTTACATTATATTTTATTATTATATATTATATAATATATATATATAGGCTTGTGGAAGGATCCCTTAATAAACGTGTGGTTCGGTTGTTACCAGATATTGTTGACATACAGTTTGTTGCAAGCGTTCGTGTGTTTATGCGTTCCTGTGTGCGTGTGTACATGCGTGCGTGCGTGCGTGCTTGCATGTATTTGTGCGCGCGCGCGTGCGTGCGTGCGTACGTGTGTGCATGTGTTCGTGCATGCGTGAGTATGTATATCTGTACAGTACTATGATGTGTGTGGTGTAAGCGTACGAGGAGGTAATGGGTTAAACATGTGTGTTAACAGGAGAGAGCTACTGGAACCAGCCGGGTACACGACCGAGCAGCTCAGAGATATTCCCTACACGAAAGTTGTGTAAGTGTGTGTTGCTTTCAATATGCAGTCCTGCCTGCACGCTGATTCACAATCTGAGAAAGATGTTATAGAGACCATTGCTGTTCTCTTGGCCATACGAGTATAGGTGTGTGTGTGTGTGTGTGTGTGTGCGTGCGTGCGTGCGTGCGCGCGTGCGTGTGTGTGTTTGTGTGTGTGTGTGTGTGTGTGTGTGCGCGTGTGCGTGCGTGTACGTGTATGTGCGTATGTGCGTGTACGTGTGGATGCAGGTTTGGTGTGTTAGTCTACGTACGTCAGAGTGAGCGTGTGTGCGCGTGCACGTGTTAGAGGTAGTATATGCGTGCCTGCACACGTGCACGTATGGCTCGTAGTGTTTGCGACCGCAAGTGCACTGTTACATGATTGAGTGAATACAAGATTTTTATATATTTTTATAATTCTACGGATGTACTGAAAGCCTATATCATAAAATATTGTCATAGATGTTAAAGCAACTGGTCCTACCCGGCATAGCGTGATGCGAGGTAGGTGGTCTTAGTTATGCATGCCATCTACTGTCAGTAATGCTAAGTTGTAGGTCATGAATAATTGATATCGAAATTCATAAATAATTGACGGCTTTTGTTTAACACGGCAATATATTTGTGAAATGATAGCCTTGCGGGCGAATATTAAAAAGCCCCCGTATCCAAGAAAACCTATCTCTCTCTCACTCTCTCTCTATCTCTCTCGTCTCTCTCTCTCTCTCTCTCTCTCTCTCTCTCACCCTCCCTCCCTCCCTCCCTCTCTCTCTCTCCCTCTCTCTCTCGCTGACGCTAACCACCGCGCCTCCTGATTCCTTCTATTTCCCGCTTTCGACATGTATTTTTTCCCGCGTCGCTCTCTTCATTGCGGCTCGTGTTCTTTCGTACGTGTTCGGTCGATTGATGATTCCGCGGTTTACGGTATTTTGGTCGGATCGTCTGTTCCGCTGGGATTGCCGCGCGGTGACGCTTTCTCTGTTGATGTATCTATTTCCACGAATGCGTTCGTACTGAAGCCACCGCGTGTCGTCGGCGATGCGTGTGATGCTAGCCGGACGGATGGCTGGCGGCCGCACGGACGGATGGTCGACGCGTTGTTCGATCGTTCGCGATTCGCGCCGCGCGGCGGGTTTATAATTCAATTATTTACGTTTTGCTAGTTTTGCACTCGTCTGTTTGTAAGTGCTGAGCTCGGGTAGGTGGGTGGGATGGATGGATAGGTGGGTGGGTAGGTGGGTGGGTGGGTGAGTGGGTGTGTGGATAGGTGGGGGTTGTTACACGCTGGAAAAACAGTTAAAAAAACAGGAGTAGTTGTTGATTATTTTTAGTTCATTATTTCAAATAATTTATGGTAAAGTGAAGTTTTGTAAGGGTGAATTATAATGAAATTAGATCCAAACTGAATATGTAGCGGGTAGGTGGGTGGGTGGGGGTGTGCGTGGGTGGGTGGGGGGGGGGGTTGTCTACGCATTAGCAAAACAGGAGTGGTGGTGGATTGTATTTAGTTCGTTGTTTAGATTCGTTCCTGATAGATGGTAAAGGTAGTTTTTGTGGTGGTTGAATAATAATGAAATGAGATCTGGGCTGAATATCAAGAAATTGTAATCTACAAAGCTCTAAAGTAGAAACAATAACAGCAATAATAACAACAACGACAACAACAACAACAACAGCATCAACAACAGCAACAACAACAACAACAGCAACAATAACAACAACAACAGCAACAACAACAACAACAACAACAACACACTGGCAACATCTTAGCCTGACGTCGAAAAAACCTCGCAATAAAAAAACGTTCGTTAGCATCACGACGACAGGATCGGTTGTAATTACCTGCTGCATCTTAATTACCTGCTGCATCCTAATTACCTGCTGTATGCTAATTACCTGATGCATCCTAATTACCTGCTACATCCTAATTACCTGCTGCATCCTAATTACCTGCTGCATGCTAATTACCTGCTGCATCCTAATTACTTGCTGCATCCTAATTACCTGCTGCATGCTAATTAACGTGAGGCTGCTTTGTCATCATTACAGGACGGGCGACAAGGGGCCGCGGATTCGCTACCACGGCAAGGACGGCAGGCGGCAGAGGTGAGCAAGCTGAGAGAGAGAGAGAGAGAGCGGTGGTGTGTGTGGGGAGGAGGTAGAGGTGAGAGAGAGAGAGAGAGCGGTGGTGTGTGTGGGGAGGAGGTAGAGGTGAGAGAGAGAGAGAGAGAGCGGTGGTGTTGTTGCTGGGCGAGGAGGTTAGAGTGAGAGCAGAAGAAGACGTGGTGTTGCTGTGTGAGGAGGTAGAGGTGAGAGAGAGAGAGAGCGGTGGTGTGTGTGGGGAGGAGGTAGAGGTGAGAGAGAGAGAGCGGTGGTGTGTGTGGGGAGGAGGTAGAGAAACCTACATGTGTTAAAGCATCCGACACGGACGGACAAGCCTTTATTTACTGACTCTATTGAGTAGCCGATCAATATGATCTCGCTAGCCCTCCCCCTCCCCCCGCCCCCTAACCCCTCTCCCTCCCCCTCCCCTCCCCAGCCACCTAACCCCTTCCCCTCCCCTCCTCCTCGCCCTCTCTTCTCGCCCTCCCCCTTCCGCCGCCCCACCGATCTTCATTGCAAACGTCTGAGCCAACAAGCTCGGTAGTAAACAGTTGCACTACTGTGTTAACCTAGTTTATTCGTTCTCTCTGAGGGCCGCGTGTTTTCACGGGCGAGCAATTACACACCGGCATGGTAACCGCGCGGGC